TTCTCCACTGTTCATAACCATATTCTTCATATTCTCTCAAAATTTTTTGAACTGAAAAAAACACGATCTTCTCCCAAATATCATGTCAAATTTTATCTTTTCCGAGTTTTAGATTCAACTCCTGAATCCGAAAATCTGTGGCGAAATGACCAGCGCACCCACTCAGTTACCATTTCGCCAACGACTACTCTAGTCACAGCGCCAACAATTACCCCAGCCACTTCGCCACACTCTCTGTGTCTGCGCTCTCGCAGACCCCGCCCACGTTTTAAAACCCACATGTTAACAAAATTTGCCGTGAATCGTTTTACAATTGATATCTGAATTTACTTACTAGTAATCACTTACTACATTACTTCTTCAATTAAGGCACAAACGAGCTAAACAACGCGACCCACCTGCAAACGGTGTCCACTTGGTTTCGACCACCTTCCGTCGATAGAACCACCGCACCTCAGAGCATTTCAGCTCGGTGACTCGTCGTTTCTTTGTACGAGGTGGAACAACTGGTGGTGCCGCCTTCTCTTTAGTAGCCTCTGACGACGGCACGAGGGCATCTGTCGACGGCATGCCTGCACTTGCGGCCTTCTTAGTGCCAGTAGCCACCACTGCCGGACTCGAAACCGATACGGCCAGAGAGTTGTGTTGCCCATCCTTCAATGACTTCACTCCTGCCGCTTCCAGGCTTCTCCGTGACTCTTCCGGAACTGACGGATTCGGCGACACTGAACCCAAATCAAATTTCGGCCTTTCTCCGGCAGCTGTCTTGTCTACCCCGTCACCTTTTCCTCTTTCCGGTTCAACTTTATTTAAGCCGGCGCCAGCCTCCTTCAACTGCGGACGTTGTTCAGGCACAGCCGGCGGAGGCATCATCGGTCTGGTGATCGGACACGCACCCGTTGAACTCACTCGAACCAATTTCACTGCCTGTTCCTCCTCCGCTGCCTGCTGCTCAGCTTTCAACGTATCCGATCTCTCCAGCGATCTGCTCGAATCACGATTCTGGGCCTTAGAGCCGTCAACCTCGCTCCAAACTCCACCGCTTTGAGATCCAATTTCAGGCTGTGACGCCGAAAGATGCCCAGTTAAAACTGTTAAAGACGGGTACAAATGTGATGTGGACGCGTTTGCTGAGGTGCTGCTGCCGCCTTGTTGAGGCTGCTCTTCCGCTAACGGTGTCGTACAACCACCACCCAATTCCTCCGTTTTTCGATCTCCTGATGGCAGCTGCCCGCTCCCTGAGTGCTCGCCCATTTCAGGCTTTTCTTCTCGAGACCCCCCATTCGCACCTGATTTTGCTAACTCACCCCTACCCTCTCCTCCAGACAAACACCTCGAACCCAAATCATGTCCAACATCGATCCTTAATTCCCTCAATTCCCCAAGACCAGCCTCCGACTCTCGCCCACTTCCCGAGCCAAACTCGGCACTTCCCGAACCTTGGGCTGAAGTTCCAGCAGCAGTTCCAGCAATAAGACCACCACTCGTTTTC